CGTTTAGCTTATTGTTTACGTTATAAACTCGTGTGTGTGTGTGTGTGGTGTGTGTGTGTTGTGTGTGTGTGTGTGTGTNGTGAACAGAACAGAAAAGGGAAACCGGAGCTGAACCAGAAAAGCTCTAGCATGGAGCTAGAGCGGGAAAAGCGCAGGTGTGAAAGCCGCAAGAGAGATATGAGACTGCAGATACCACTGTGTCAGTTGAGCTCAAATTGAACACGACCAACTATAGAGAGGCGAAGTCACGCCCATCTACTTCCGACCCATGGGACCTTATTTCGGAAAAATTATGTATTGAAGTCAATGGGGAGAGAAAGATTATCNAAGGGCAGATTAATGGTTATCAAAGTACAAATATCCAAAATCAGTTCAGTAACGGTTTTCAAGGGGACAATATTTACTCAAATTGATGGGTTTGGATGATGGGGGAAACTCGTGTCACAGGCTCTTTAAGGCACACCTTGATATGATTATTATAATTACTAATGAGACATTGGAGACTAAATGAAAAACAGGTATAAAATACTATGACAGTAACAAAAAAGTTGTTAAAAATAACAAGAATAGAGTTTAAAAGGGGAGTGATTTGTAAAATATCCAAAAAGAAAAATCTGCTTACAGTTCTGTTTCAAATGGGTGTTGAAAGATGTACCCATAGATCTCCTCATGTTGCTCTCAAAGTGCACCAGATTGATGCTTTTAACTTCAATATTTAAAACAAAATCTTCCCGGGGGAGCATGCCCCCGGACCCCCCTAGAGGAGGTTAGGTCCCCCCCACTTAAATCATGTTCACATGGATACTAAATACATTTGCACACATCTTGTGTCCATATCTTTCTGTTTTGGTGGTCATGCCACACCGTGCACATGCATGCATGCGCGAGTCATGGTAAGATATCTGGATTAAGAGGTTGCTTTTTCTTTGCACAGAATGAAAGAAAGGCCAAATTAATGGGCTGTGATTTTAGTTTTTTTAAGCAGAGGTTGAGTTCAATAATTTGTACGGCCCTCGGAGGATGTTGTACAAATTCAAAGGAAAAAGGTTCCCCACCCCTGCTGTAAATAATAATAAAAACCCTTGATTTATAACTTAACATCTCTGTCTCCTATTGATCTGAGTATATTATAAAGAATAGCCAGTTAATTGAAGCATTGTAGCACAGGCCTTTGTCAGATGGTATATTACGCTGTTTTTTTCTGCTTCGAATAGTTCTCTCTTTTTTCACCATACCTGTGTTTGCATCACTAGAAGAAGGACAGGTCTATGTCCTGATTAGTAATTGTGTTACATATATTGCGTGTGTGGATATCTGACAGCTGTGCACAACATGCAGTGTGTGGTGTGTAAACAGCAGCCTCTGCTCTGTAGCTGTAGAGAAGTGTGCAGCTTGTTTGAGGCCCAGGTTGTCTGAAGTCTCTTCTCCGTGCAGGAATCTAACAGCGGCTTGGAGATCACCCAAATATGTATCTGCAACAATATTGGCATTTAATTCATTTTGTATATAATCTTCATCAAACCTGTCAAAAATCACAGTTTTCCCACATCTTAGATTGATGCATGTCTTATACATATAGTAAACTGTATATAGGTGCGTTTTAGACGGTTGGAAACAACACATTTGTAGGCATCTCCTTGGCCTTGGTGTTTGTGATCGACATAAAAGCAGAATCTGGGACAATATCTACATCATAAGCTGTGAGAAAGTGCTTTAAGACTAAGACCCTTTTCTTTGGTTAGTGTTTGATTACCGCAGAGCGCCATCTTCTGTTTGCAATATGCTTTTGTAATTATCAGAATCTTCTGAAGACATTTAGCTGATTTAGTGTTGCTAAACAGAGTTCCTCCACATTTTGTCATTGGAAAAGACAACATTATAATCATGCCTGTTGGTAATTCATCTCTCCTACCATCCTGTGATACTGACCGTTGAGCGGCCCGACCAAGCAAGGAGGCAGAGGCAGAACATCCAAAAATACAACCCGGTGTGGGCATTTATTAAAACATTACACACAGCCTCAATCCTGCTGCTGCTGTTTCACGTGAGCCCAGCCTGCAGCCACCAGGATCTCACACACACACACACCAGCCTCTCAACAGACAGGGAAACAGAGCCTAAATACACACACAACTTAATCAACCAATTAGACACAGGTGGGGGGAAGCAATTAGACACAGGTGAGGGGGGAGGAGACAACACAGGGCACAAGGTGCAAACAATCGGATAATCAGCAGGAGGGAACACAGAGACGACTGGAAACAACAGACAAGATGAGGTGTGAACACTTATATAATTAATGCCATTTAATAAATAGCAGCGTCTCGTCGTTACACATCCAGAAACAATTTAACTATAACTTTCTAATCGCACCTTTTAATTAATGAGAAAAAAGAAATATTTCCCAATAATTTTCTTGAACATTTCCTCTTTTGCATTGGATTTTCGTGTTGTTTGTTAACTGAAGCACAAATGTGTTTTCTGCTATTGCATAACCTTTGGAGGAAGATAAATGTGCAAAACAATTTTTACCATAGCCTGCTACATTTTGGGGGTTTCAGTTCTTTTCAAAACGATCGTTCTGTGGTGGGACCAGAATGAAAGTCTTTCTCACACCTGGGCCCCAACGCTGAAAATGGAAGTAGTTAGTTAGTTTTGGTACTGGAAGATGTATTGGTTATACTTTTTACATTTAGACAATACAACAAAGTAAGACAGCAGAAGTTATAGTTTTTCCTCATGAACATTGAAAATAAATAACAGCTCTAAAAACATTTGAAAGATTATGAAATGGTGCTTTAAAGAAATCAAAAAGCCACTGTGATAGAAAAAGTTATGCTTCTTCAATTTGATAACAAATGTTTGATTATTATTTGATAATGCGTTCGTCATATCGGTTCGATGTACTCCTCTGGATGAATGATTTCAAACAGCAGATGGTAAAAGAGTTAAAAAAAGAACCTGCTTTTGATCAATGTTTGATATATAACTATATCATATTCAAATCAGTTCTAGCTATGCAAAAGAAGCAATTCTGCATCTAAGTGTTTTTGTTTTGCTACTTGCCATGCTAAGGTCCCAACAAATTGCCTACATCGCTCACAGTATATGTGTCATGTACAATGCCAACTAATTCAACACTTCAGTGTAACCCAAAAGGAATATGCATGGTTATATGAAACAACAACAAAAAGTTTAAAGGTTTCATCCTATGTATGGACACCACTGCACACATATAGTGTACACAACAATTATAACTGTGTGTATAATTAATTACCCGGAAACTGACACACTGGGCACCAACAGCCCTGTGTGTGTGTCATTTGTGGGGCGTGTGTTTATGTGCGTCTGCGCTTTTCTATCCCTGCCCTGTCATTAAAGGAGATGAAGGGAGGATGTTTGTCCAAGACATTCTTACAGGCTACCCAGTGTGTGTGCGCGGATCCCAATGTTGATGCATTCAGTATGTGTGTCCAGGTTTTTAGTTTGAGTAACGCGGTTAAGATTTTTTTATGGTCTGTGTCAAGGCTATCATTTGCCATAATGCTATCCACCTGCTCCATGTTGGCTAGTGAGGGCTGCTAGGGAATGAGCCAATGCTTTCTTTCTTGGTTCATTTCGACACACACTTCAACTAAAATATCTTGTGCGTTACACTTTTTATTTGGTATGCTTAATCTGTTTTTTTAATGGCTAGGCTCTGTATTTTGTTTCAACCAAATAATAGTGTTAAACAATACAATTAAAGAAAGTGTTGTTTATTTTTCTTTGGTCGCTGACTGAACCTTGATACTTGAACTAAGACTTACAATTAAACTGAGTGTGGGTTTCTTCTCATCTTCACTTTTTAGTTTTAGTCAGTTTTGCTTCTTTGGCTTTACCATGAGTGATGATTCAATCTATAGGAATCTGAGAAAAATAATGTTTCCCCAATCTCAAGCTCTCCTTCAGGCCAGCTTGGTAACTTAAAATACTCCGACACAGACAAACGTGCTTACAGTGTCCGTGGCGTGTGTTCAGTATTTGGACAGGTGCTGATCCAGCTGACAGATTCTCACACAAATGTATTGAAATGAGGCTGTTCTAAAATGAGACTTGGTGTGAGAATGGTGTTCATTCCAGTGCAATAAAAAGCTTTCCTGCCAGAAAAGCTTTCAATGTGTGTGTGTTTTTAAACATCTGTATGGCAAACTGCCAGCTGTGTCAAGCTTCTATGTCTATAGGGAGAGACTTAGCATATAATTAGTATTTCTTAGAGCAGGTAGAGCCCGATAACGACATATAGTATAATATATATAATGTAATATTAATGCAAACCATCTCATTAGGAATTTGAAAATTCAGTCCATTTATTTCCATACCTGGACGGCCTGACAGTGGCGGGGGGGGGGAGGGACTTGTGAAGAAGCTGAATGCCTTCTTCCTCACTATCTGCTCTAACTCTTCCCTGAGACTGCTCCAAGACACACAGAGTACGGCTACACTCACACAAAGTAGTAGAAGGCAGGCTCTGGCCTCTCGTAAATCTGAGTGTGTTGCGTTGCACTCGCATACTGTGCTCTGACTGGACAGTTGTTTTCTGACGTAGCCACCATACTACGCACAGGGATATAATTCATTTCCTGTCGCACTGATGTAGAAAACATTGTGTTGAATATCTTTGATAATTCTAACGCGTTCTAACCCCCCACCATAACTCTGTGCTTCTGATTCTCTTGCCGGTTCATTCCTGCTTTCCTTAAATGGACATTTGTGTCAGATTGAACTTCTCCAAACTAGTAGTATAGCAGCAGCTGGATAACCTTTTTTCAAATCTCTGTGAATCAGCTGTCTTTATGAAAAGTGTATGTAGACTCTAACCACCTTTTGTATTTCTGGCTGCACTGGTGGTCTCTACACATCCATTACTGACTAATTCAATGACTGTTGTGTTGTACATTTTTGCATCCTATATTAATCTCATCTCAAAAGTAAATTCCTCATCTTCTTTGTCCTCACAGCAAATGGTGATGAGCCTGCGAGTGTCGGAGCTGCAGGTGCTGCTGGGATACGCTGGGCGCAACAAACACGGGCGCAAACACGAGCTTCTGACTAAGGCGCTGCACCTGCTGAAGGCCGGCTGCAGCCCCGCTGTGCACATGAAGGTCAAAGAGCTCTACCGACGACGTTTCCCGGCCAAAATGGTGTCCCATTCAGAGCTGGCCATGCCCGGGCCGCACCACCCGGCCTCAGCTGGTGTGGTGGGAGGCGGGGGCGCCGCACTGCCCTCCGGCCTGACACAGCTGGCTTACGAGGGTCACGGCGGAGCCCCGTCGCCCGCTGCCTTACTGCCCCTCTCGCTGCTGGGCCCCGGGAAGCACGAGCTGACGGGGCTGACGCACCACCTATCCGGCTCCACGCTGCACCCGGTCCACCCGGACGTGAAGCTGCAGAGGCTGCCCTTCTACGACCTGCTGGATGAGCTCATCAAGCCCACCAGTCTAGGTGAGGGCTCCAGTGTGTTCTGTGTGTGAGCTTGACTTATAGGGAACAATGGTAGATGGATACTTTTCAATCAATATGTATGCATCATATTTTAACCATTTATCATTGCACTTAATTTGTGGCGGCTCAATTCCCATTTAAATTTGAGTCGCAGAAAGGCTAAGCTCGGCTTTATGCTGCGATGCGTTTTCAATGAGAAAGTCCATGCTGAAGGTCGAAAGGTTGAATATATTTAATAAACAAAATCAAACACACAATAACTTAGAAGGACCAAAACGGTCAACAGAAAAATGTCAGCGCAAGCTCACCCTCTGTCATCCGCACCTGACATGTAACAGGTGACCTATATACACAAACCACACCCATGTGACGATTGCCGGAAGTGCTCAACAAATACAAATAAAAGTGACGTAAACAAATAATAATAATAATAATACAAATAACAAACTCAGGCTAAGTAGCATTTTGGCTCCTACATAATTAGTATAAGTCTTGAATGCAGTGTTTCTTAGTTAACAAGAATGTTGGTTCTGTCTCAATAAGACTTTTTTATATTTTTTTAAAGTTTAGGGTTTTTTTATAGCTTCATGATGCCAGCAGACTTGACATGGCTGCTTTGTAAGCCGAATAGTATTCTTAGAAATGCATTCAAACACTTTGCAAACAAAAACATTAACTGCAGCTGAGCGTGAACATTAGTGCACAGCCTCCCTCTCTCTCTCCGTATGTTTCCGGTCTATATCCTCACCGTCAATTCACTGAGTGTGAAAATGCTGAAAATATGATCTGCAAGGTTGTGGATATTTATGTCATTATATCAATCTAATAATCATGGCAGCAGCCTCAGAAAACATTGATATTTGTGTTTCCGCTCTGCTGGAGAGGCTCCCTGTTAGTGTCTGTGTTGTGCTGCGTGCTAATGCTCTGACAGGGCACAGAAATGTTACTGCAACAATATCATTTACAATATTGTTGTTTCCCCACAAGAGTTCAGAGTAAACTGATGCAACAGTTGGTTCATTAGAGGTGTAAGTGAAAATATTTTTAAATAGAAGAGGATGATTTTGCCAACCACATTGTGTAACCTAATAGTGGTTTTACTTGCTTGGCTTGTTATTTCCATTAATGAGCAGCAGAGAAGAAACCAACATTTACTGGCTTATCATATAAATACTTAGTTTACTTTTTTATAGATGCGTAGTACATTTAAGAGCGACGTTTGGACACTGAACACTTGCCAGTATGCATCATAGGTGAATACTGGTTTTTATTTTTGATATTTATATTGTTAAGGACTGCTATGCTGGAATTAACTTTGGGTGGGACAAGCAACTGCCACATGATGAATTGTCCTATTTTAATCGAACATACATTTTTCCTGCAGTGAGACCAATTTGACATCAGTGTGGAGCCACTGAATATTAATGAATCTCTGCATGGAGACCATCAACAACATATGTTGACATTACTCTATTTATCTACAGCGAATTCACGTCTCCTAGGAAACTACATTAAGTGATAAATGAGAGACACTCCCCGTCAATCTGTAGCTGAGAGAATAGTTCTGCACCGGCTCTGCAGGAACTAAACTTTCTTGCTCCGATGTGGCAACACACCGCTGTAGTGACACCAAAATAAGATCCTAAATAAGTTCAAAATGTAATACTTTACATACGGTTTTGTCTCTCCTTTTGTGCTTGATTGTGCTTACAACATTTTTTATATTCACAAACAATTTTAGCAAGTAAAGAAGTTAATCATAAACTTCAGATTATAACTGTACGAATAACTTAAAGCCTCAGAAATCTTTCTATAAAATTAAAGATGTAATAACAAAACACACTGTGGTATTATTTACTAAGAGTTAAACTGTCGGAACGATCAGATTTGATTGACGGTAGAACCCTAAGCAAACAACTCACAAACTGTCATCAGACTTTCATTCAGATATTGCGAAATCCACGTCAAACCAAGAACAAGTAAGCAGATCAAACTCAAATCCTTCATTAAATATACTTAAACCTTTCCAACTTAAAAATGCTTTGACGCAAATCACTGCAGTGATTCCAAATATCCATATCAAATATTTTTTTTAATTAACGTCTTAATCTCGCACTTGTCTTTATATTAGATGTACATCCAGTACCCAGCCCACTTTGAGCACAAACACACTCTGTGGGCTCTGGGATATATTGCAAATAAATGGAAATGTCTTGATTTTCCTACATTAGCATTTTAATGGAGTATGGGACCATCTTGTGATTAATTTGCCTGAAGATGCATGTACAAACACAGCGCCTGCAGCTCTGCCATCACCCCATCTTTCTCCTCTTCCCCTTCCTCACTCCATCCATTTCCTGCACATGTACCATTACTCTCTCCCTCCCTCTCTCACCCACCCTGCCTTCCATTCTCTCTCGGACTTGACGGCCATCCTTGGTTCAAATTTGCATGCAAAGTGATGAAATCATACAGACCTACACCTGTGCCTGCAAAACACACCCTCCCCTCATTCAAATCTGAATCGCACACACTGAAACACACACACTCACACACTTCTGCACACACAGTACTTTTCAAAACACAGACATACTTTCCAATAAATAATGCATGCTGATCGCATTGTTCCCGCAGAAGCAGAGCGAACGAAAGAAAGACTGAGAGGAGGAACTCGCCCATCGTATCACTAAGCTTAAAAAAGAATTGACTTTAATAAAATCCCTCTTTATCCTTCCTAATAATGAAGAGCAGTAATGAAACCCCTTGATTCATTTGAATGTGCCCCTCATGGGCAGAGATGTTCTCCTCTTGCTATAACACTGCTGTAGTACTCTCTTTCACACACTCTTTCACACACTCCCCCCCCCGTCCTTTGCTTGGTTACTTTTCTATGATCTTCTGATTACTGCTCTATAACACTCCCTCTCTCCCCGTCTCTCCACCATTGACTCTCCTGTTGTGTTGCCTCCAGTTTCTCTCTCCCTTCCCCCACTTGCTTGCTGATATCATTTCTTTTTGCTGGAGAAAGCTGATGTGTTGGCCCTGTATGTGCTTAACCACAATTCTGACAGGGTTTTTACAAAACTGCATGTGCACAACAGACTTTAGACGCTGCAGTGAGAGAAGATATTATGACATGTCCTTGCATCTAAAATCTAAACCATAACTCTGAGGAAGTCTGTTTCCACAGCTGAACTGCAGGCTATTCATACAGTTCACATGTGAAATGGAATAGAAAATGGCTTTATGTTTGTAGACAATTTGGCATAAAAGAAATGATGAGAAGACGGTCCTGGAGCAAAACAGTATGCCCTGGCAAAATGGTCAATTATAAAAATGACAGAAGCTCTGTTTCTTCAACCTCCAGATTCCTCTCATGTTGACATGTTGGAATGTTCTGTATAAATACCTTTTGCCTACAGTATTGCACGCATGCAGAGTAAGAAGAAAACCGTGCTCTCGCTGCAGAGCCATTTCTCTCACTGCGACGCCACTCATGGAGCTGAAGCAGCGTATATCATTAATAAACTTAAAAAACATTGTAGAGGGGGAAAATGTGGAATCGGATCTATAGTATCTGAAGAATCGCCATGCATGTGAACATGTTTTCAAATGTTCTGCCTTATTTCTCACAGTAACCTGGTGTCTTGTGTGTGTGTAATTGTAGTTATTATCTCTCTCACACCATCCTCCCACCCTCCCTGTCATTATCCCTCCCTCCCTCCCCCCCCTTCATCCCTCGCAGTCTTGTGCTCTCTGCTGAGTCTTATCAGTTTGTGGGATGAAGGTTAGCCGGCCTCCAGTCGAGCCTTGCCAGTCTAAACTGGGCAGTGGTCTCGGCTGCACCGGCTACTGCTTCATTACCATGGCGACATCACTGGTTGAACTCTCCATCATTATCCATCCTCCATAGAGAACTATGGCTCTGTGCTCATTATGGATATCATTGTGGAGGGCATGAATTATACATGATGTAATCACCATATCTTCAGGAAAAGGATGCCAGCCTATTTTCTGTTTGATGAGCATTTGGTGCATAATGGATTTTTATAAGGGACGATTGCTGCGATATTCACACAATGGAAGAAAATCAGAAATCTGTCTAATCAAGTGTTTGGAAAAAGATGTCAGACCATGATTTTATTTTTTTTATGTCGAACTTTAATAACCTTTTTGAAAACTAGACATTAGCGTTTTAATGGTTGATATCCTATCCACTGAAAATGTTTTCTCTTACTCCTATTCCCCTTAAAATGTCTGACCTTGACTATTTACACTTGATCTGAGATTGAAATGTACCCAGGTCGAACTAGATCAGGAATGTCACAAATTCAAAAGCCAATCACTGTTAGATCTGCAAATGCAACAATTAGCATTAGCATAATGATATCTAGGCAAACATAGTAATGGGCAGTTTTGGATGTAAACCTGACCCTCAAGCTTCCTTCCACCATCCACCCAAAAATCCGCTGAATATCATTGTTTATGTTTTACATCCTCTAACACTGTCTGTCACTGCCAGTTACAAGTGAACATGCTAACAAAGAAGATACACAAATCAATGATGCTAACTACACTACACATTCTGATACTCTGCTAGTACCTAATTTTGCAGGGCCATTTTGAGTTTGGGTTATTTTTCCTCCCATTTATTGAACCTGTGATGCCAGTGCTACCATAACACCCCAAACATTTTACAAGAAAGATATTCCCCAATAATGCTAAATATCGCTTACTTTGTTCTTTAATGTTAGGCAGCGGTGTGTGTTGCCTCTCCGCTGCAGGACCCTCACAGGTTTTCTATTCCGGTCAGGGAGTATCTTATCTTCAGCTCTACATACAGTTAACTGGTGTCATGATGAAGCACACTGCCATCTGCCTGTCAGTTACACTCTGAACACAACATTTACTATTATCTCTCATGCCTTATACAAACTCTTACACTGACACAACCGGTTTGCCTTTACATTGGGGGATTTGATCAACTTACCAGTATTTTC